GTGTGTGTGTGTGTGTGTGTGTGTGTGTGTGTGTTAGAGCCATGGGCGTGCAGAGGGGTGTGTGTGTGTGGGGGTGTGTTAGAGCCATGGGCGTGCAGAGGGGTGTGTGTGTGGGGGGGGTGTGTTAGAGCCATGGGCGTGCAGGGGTGTGTGTGTGTGTGTGTGAGTGAGTGTGTACGTGTGTTTCTGTGATAGAACTATGAGCATATCAGGGTGTAGGAGCGCCAGTGAGTGTGTACAAGAGTAAAAAAATGAGTGTGTGTGTAAAAGTTCCAAGAGCACGTAGGCAGGTGTGAGTGAGAACGCACCAGAGTGTGTGACATGTGTGTACACACGTGAATTGTGAGCATATTTTGAACATGCAGGCACATGAGAGTGCGTGTGCACTTGTGTAAAGGTAAATGTGAGCGTGTGGGTGTGCACATGCCCAGGGGTCCTCTGTGGCTGTAACAGCCCTGCTGTCCCCTGGCCCCCTGCACTCCCAGGCGGTGAGCGTGAGCTGAATCCCTGTGCTCTGCTGACAGAGGCAGGCCCTGGGAAGTGAAGGTCCCCACACCGATAGGTCATCTTCATCTGCTCCGAGGCATTCGTGGCCAGTGACCAGGGTGGCTCCAAGCCCTGGTCCCAGTCTCCCTGAGCCAGGTCTTGTGCTGGGCACAAGTGGCCAGTGCTCAGAGCCCTGGAGGAGGGCACAGACGGCCAAATCCTGGTGGCTGTGGTGAGTGGGTGAAGAGTAGGGGCCAGGACCCCAGCAGTTGCTGAAGTCTGGTGCCACCCTGCCCCTGGAACGCCTAAGCTGGAGAACCAACTGCCCTTCTGGACCCCAAGGGGAGCCAGCCCCCAGCTCTCTCTCACCTTGTGGTCTGTGGGGCTCTAAGTGAGTCACTGTGGGGCCGCCACTGTCCTCACCACAGGTACATGGACACACGGACACAGACATGCACACCACACACAGACACAGCTGCACAGCGGACTGGAGACCCTCGGAGGCTTGTGCACTCTTGTTGCTTCACAGGCCTGGGTCTGACAGGGAGGTTTCCTGAAGACTCTATCTCACACTGCCACCCCCCAGCCCCACTGGCCAAGAATCTGACCCCACCTTCTTCCCTGTTCCTGTCCCCAGCCAGGGCCTGACAGTACCAAGAACAGCTGGGGGAGCTGACTCTTCGTAGGGACAGAGCACCGGCCTCCTGCATAAGCAGCCTTTGGAGCGTGGTGTGGCCCAGGCTGCCGGTGGGAAGGGTGCAGAGCTGGACCCCAGCGCCTGGCTTCCCTGCCCGTTTCTGGGGAGCTCTCCATAGAACTCAATATCCAGCAAGCCGGGCACTTCCTGGTTGCAGTTCTTCCTCTTCTACCTGCAGCACCGAGTCCCAGGGAAAGCCAGACTACGGGGAAACCTGTGAAGGTGAGATGAACGCAGACTCACACTCGCTGAGCGCCTGCACCAGCTCTGCCCAGTGCCGGCAAAGGGCCACCTCCAGCCTTCCCTGGGCTCTGTGACACTCAGGTCGCCCCAACCACGTAAGGAACCTGACAAGGGGGCCCCGCTGAGAAGCCCCGGCTCTCTGCCACCCCCTTCCCCCAAAACTGCCTGGGTTCCTGCTGCCAGTGCAGACTCGGGGACTCTGCCTGGTGCCTCCACTCGCAGCACCCTTCTGGACTTGACAAAACGGCTGCAAAACCAGCCTTGTTGCCCTGCCCACAAAGGGCCACACTAGGTGTGCTGGGTGCCGGGGTCTCCTGCCGCAAGGACACCCTAAACCCTCCTCCTCCCCATCCTCACTCCTTTCACTAGCAGCCAGTGCCCGCTATCTCCTGGGGACCAGGAGTCTCCTGAGTTGGGGATTTTACTCAAACCCCTACAGACACTCAGTATACTCCATCCAACCTACATGCAGAAGAGAGAGAGACGGAGACAGGGATGGAGAGACGGACGGACAGACAGACACACACGTATAATGCCGGGTGGATGCACGCAACAGGGGAAGGAGCGAGGGAGACAAAATGCGCGGATGGGGCCGAGCGAGCAGGACCGGCCGGCACTGGCTGTCCCTGCTCGGAGCACTGTACCGCAAACGGCAGCGGCCCGAGCTGCGGCCCGGGAAGCAGCGCAGCCTCAGGAGGGGCTGCCCCGGCGCAGAGGAAGCTGCGGAGGCGGAGATGGCAATTGGGGGGCGCCCGGCGTCCTCTCCCCACCTTTGCAGACTCCGTGTGGCCGCGCCCGGCCCCACGCGAGCTTGGCACCGCCCCTGCCCCGGCTCGCCGCCCACGTGGGGAGCGGGGACACTATGGCCCTCGAGCCTCAGCGAAGTGCGCTGCGTCCTATGCGGGAGCTGGTGGCCGCTCCAGGCCTGGGACCCCGAGGCCGGTTCTCCCCGCCCGCGGGCCGCGCGGAATCGGGTTTGCGGGCGCGGTTTCGGCTCCTTCAGCCGGTTCCGCGCCTGGAGGCCCCTCGCGCCCAGCCCGGTGCCAGGCCAGGGGCCCCCGGTGCGGAGAAGAGCGGCAGGAGGGGAGCGCAACAAGGCAGCCAGGCCCCAGCGGCTCTTACCGGACGAATTTATTGTACGTTCTTGTTTTCCTTCCCTCAGTTTTATAGCAAATGGGGAAAACTCACAAAACAAAACAAACTCAGCAACCCCGGAGCTGTGACCACGTCGGCGCGGGCTCCTCAGTGAAGGGGCGCGGAACTCTGGAGCCGGGACACCCCCGCGCCCTCGGCCCGCTCCCACCGACGTTCGCGCGCGTCCAGAGCCAGTCAGCTTGGGGGGAAAGTGCATCCCACAAGGAAGAGAAAACCGCTGAAAAGAAAAACACACCTTCCTGCCTTCCCTCACAGAAGCCTCCTCAAAAGTTCTGCCAGAGAAGCTGCCTTACTCTGTCACCTCTGTCGAGGATCAAATAAGACGCGTCTCTGCGTGTCTTGGCCGAGCGGGGCCGAGCGCCGCTCCCACCCCCACCGCCCTGGGCATCGTCGCCGCAGGACAGAGCGGGAAGGTGTGTCCTCGGCTTGGTCGCTAGGAAACGTCAGTAGCAGGGTGGGGGGCAGGCGGGCAGGGGGGGCGGGCGGCCCCTCCGAGCGAGCAATACATGCTGGGACCGGCGGACCTCGGGGGCCACCGGGAAGGAGCGGGGTCCGGGGGGCGTTTCAATGACCAAGCAAAAGAAACAAATTCTCCGAAAGTAAAAAGTAACAAGGGTTCGTCCAAAGGGCAAGGACCTGCAGAGAGAGCAGCGCGAGCTGGGGTCGAGCAGGCAGAGGGGCCGGGGCGCCGAGAGCCCCGCGGGACGTATGTACAAGTGACCGTGACGGAGGGAGACCGGCCTCCAGCTTCCTTGAACGTCACCGTTCTGCGCAGAGCACCGGGGACGCGCGCCCGTCCCGCGGCGAGGAGCTGGGAGCGGCCTCCGGAGGAGGGTCTCCGCGGCCGCGTCCCTGGGGGCTGTCCGAACCCGTCCCCCGCGGCGGCGAGGCCACTCACAGGAAGAAGTCGGCCGCACCCTTGGCCCCGCCTGGGCCGGCCTGCGGCGGCGAGGACTCCCGCGGGAAGCCGGCTGCGCCCGCGCCCCCAGGGCCGCCCCGGCCCGCCAGCTTCTCGTATTTCTCCTTGTACAGGTCCCGCTCCTTGGCCAGACGCCCCACCTCCAGCTTCAGCTGCTCCACCTGGCTCTGCAGCTGGCACTTCTCACTTTCCAGGATGTGCCGCTGCTGCACCCGCTTGAAGCGGCAGGACTGTGCGTAGCCGCGGTTCTTGAGCGTGCGCCGCTTCTGCTTCAGCCGGATCACCTCCTCCTTGCTGAAGCCGCGAAGCTGCCGGTTCAGCTCGCGCACCGACATGGACACCAGCTGGTCGTCGGAGAAGCGCTCCTCCAGCCGCACGTGGGGGGCCGCGCCGCCGTGGTGGTGGTGGTGGTGGTGGTGGGCGGCGTGGTGGTGGTGCGCCGCGTGGTGCGGGCCGTGGTGGTGACCGGAGCCCATGTCGTCCGCGCCCCCGCTGCCCGCGAAGCCGTGGCTCCGGAAGGCCTCATAGGCCGCCGCGGCCGCCGGGTGGTGCGCGCCGTGGTGCGCGCTGTGGTGGCCGCTGCTGATCAGCGCCTCCACGGCGTCCTCGGGCGTCAGGTTGAGCGCCTCGGGGTTGAGGTGGTGCTGGTAGCCGCTCATCCAGTACAGATCCTCCAGCGCCGGCTTCCCCGCGGCGCCCCCGACGGCCCCGGGGCCCGCGCTCGGCGGCCCGGGAGGACCTCCAGCCGGCACCGCGCCACTGCCGCCCGCGCCGCCGCCGGAGCCCGGGCTGGGCGCGCAGAAGCTGGGCGAGGAGGGCACGGAGGAGCAGGGAGTGCTGAGCGGCGTGGAAGACAGCGAGCCGGGCGGCAGGCGGTGGCAGAAGCGCTCGGCTTCGGGCGGCTCCTTCTTCACCTCGAACTTCATCAGGTCGAAGTCGTTGACGTACTCGATGGCCAGCGGGCTACTGGGCAGCTCGGCGCCCATCGCCAGCTCCGCGGCCATCGCCTGGGGCCCCGCCCGACTGCGCCCCGACGGCCGGCGGGGAGGGGGGGAGCCGGGGCCTCTCCCCCCTCGCTCCCCGCGGGCGCAGCGGGGCCGCCGGCTCTGGACCGGTCGGTCCCAAGGGCGCGCAGGGAACTTCTGTACAGCTAAGTCTGGCGGCCTCTGGGCAGCCGGCGGCCCCACTGCCCCTTGGCCCGGCCCCTCCTCCGGGCCCGCCCGCTCCACGCGAGCAGCCAAGCGCCGGCCCGGCCCCGCCTCCGACCAACCGCGCGTCCAGCCGCGCTCCCCTTTATTCAGCCGGGCGCCCAGGCCCGCCTCTCCGGGCAGGGGTCTGCACGCGCGGGCCAATCGCAGCCCCAACCCCGCCTTCCTCATTAGCCTATCCCCATGGCAACAGCGGAGCCCAGCTGTCAATCTCTGGCGAGAAACAGCTGTGAGAAGGGGTGGGGACCGGCCGGAGCGCAGAGACGGGTGCCCAGCCCTCTGGTGGACGCGGTTGGGGACTGCATGGGCCGAGGACCGCGCCGGGGATGAGGGGACGAACTCTCTTGGGTCCCAGAAGCCTTAGGATCGCGACGGGCAGTTCGAAACTCTGAGGAGGGTTGTACCGGCCCAGGACCCTGCCAGAGGCTGACCCTCTGCGCCGCGCCGGTCAGAGCTCCTTCCTGACCACACCGGCCAGTCCAGCTCCGACCGCGGGGCCGTGGCGCGTTAACAGAGCGGCGCTTGGCCTGGCTACCGTGCGCCGCTCCGCCGGTTAGTTTTAGCCCCGCTTTGGGCGGGCTGAGGCCTGGTCAGTGAACTTGCTGGCACCCCTGGGCGCGGGAGCCTGCGTGGCGGGGCTCCAGGACCATGTGGAGACCGCAGGCTGAGAGGTTACAGAAGCGATGGAAGGGCGGGGCTGGGGCCCAGGGGAGCGAGGTGAGGGGGTGGGGGCTGACCCGCAAAGACTCCTGGGACAGGGTCTGCGAACCCTCGAACCCTGGGTGGAGGAGTCCACTGCCCAAGGGTCGGAGGATCCCTGCAGACAGAGGAGCCCTGGCAGGCGGGGCTGAGGCGGAGCAGGGACCCTGGGGCGGGGCCGGAGCGGGCCAGTGGCGGTGGACAGAAGGTGGTCGTGGAGGAAAGGGAAGAGGTACCACCGCGGCCCGCCCTGCCCCGGGGTCAGGCCTCTTGTGGGAGAAGGGCTCAGGTGAATGCGCGCGTCAGGAGACCCAGGCCAGGACGCGACAGCAGCCAGGGACCCGCCCCTGGCTGGAACTGGAACCGGGTGTCCCAGAGGGCGGATGCGAGGGCAGGGCGCGAGTGTGGATTTTCTCAAAGTCTCAAAGACTTTGCCAGTGAGCAGCGAGACAGACATACAGCGACCTCTCCCTCTCCTTGGGTCTCAGCCCTGGGACCCAGCCAGGGGTGATGCTCTTGGGCTGTGCTGTCCCCAGGAATGGTGTTATAACCAAGCAGTGCCCACCCTTTGCAAGCTGTAGCCCAGAATCCCAGCGTCCTCACGTTTGCTGGCCTGGAGGCTTGGGGGTACAGGACTCTCTTGTGAGTCAGGTCTGGTGGGGGGAGGAGGTGAGAGTGCCAGGCCAGAGCAGACTGTGGGTCCACAGCCTTCGATTCTGCATCTGAGGCTTAGGGGCAACCCCGAGTTCTCCCAGCTGGCAGCGGGAATGTGGTCCTAAGCCAGGTGTGGAGCCCCCAGGCTGCATGTGTTGCTGGAGCTTAGTGGTCCACATAAGACCCCAGCGTTTAGAAGGTGCCTGGGTGCTCAGCTCGGGGTACATGAAGGGGTGGGGGCCGGGAAGAAGTGAGACACTCATTCCATGCAGACCAGGCTCCATCTTCCGCAGGCTGCTGGCCGCTGGTGCCAACGTGGAGGTCTCAACAAAACTGGCCCAGCTGGGTCCTCCTCATAGTTCTTGGTCTCAGGTCAAGGACATGGACCCGCTCATAACCCCAGGCAGGGGGCACTTGCAGAGGACTGGCAAGTGGGGGCTTTAACCCAGCTCTGAGCAGCCAAGCTTCAGCCTTGGCCTTCCAGGTTCAGCCAGAAATGGGGGCCCCACACCCAGTCCCTGAGTGAACCACTTGTGTTGCCAGGTCTGGAGCTAGCCAGGGCTCCCTGCTTCCCTGTGTCTCCCTGCTCTCACTCCCTTCATCAATCCGAATTCCCTCCTACACACTGACACACACCCCTTCATCCATCCTTTATCTCCTTCATTCACACGTCCCTTCTTCCCACCACGCCACACAAGTGTGAGGGGAGAGCAGGGTGGGAGGAGAAAGCTTAGGTTCCAGGCTCTTCCCAAAACAATACAGAAAGAGGGAGGGTTATCAGTTCTCCACCACAAGCTGCCCAGCAATTCTTGGAGCCAGCAACCTGTCCCCAGCACTGGGGAGCTGTCATGCCGAAGGAAACCTCAGGACCAGCCTAAGGTCCCCAGGGCACTATACTGCTGCCAGCCACCTTTAAGACCTATCTCAATTCTCCAGTGTTGCTGTCACAGAGACACCACAGTGCATTGACTCAGTCACTCAGTGCTGCTGTCACAGACACCACAGTGCACTGTCTCAGTCACCCAGTGCTGCTGTCACAGACAACACTGTGCGTGTCTTGAAGAAACAAGTTCATTTTCTCACTTTTTAGGATGCTCAAAGTCTGAGCACAGGGTGGTAGGTCTTGGGAAGGCGCTAGCTCTCTGTGGGTCTGGAATAGGTGGGTCCTTGTCTCTGACCCAGCTTGGCTCCTAGCGGATCTCTTATCCTCTGCTGCCTTGGTTTTTCACTGTGTTGGCGTTGACTCATAGCTGACCATTCAGCAGGTTTTCAGGGTCTCTGACAATCCCACAGGACAAGAGAGCACATTTTTCTCCCACAGAGCAGCTGGTGGATTTGAATCTCTTGTCCTTGGGATTCAGGACACCTTCTTCCTTCTAGGCCACCAGAGCTTTGTCTGGTTTGTATCTTAAAAAGGATTTACTGGGACCGCTCTGCGCGACTCCTATTCATGGACAATAGGAGCCGTTCCCATATGAACTGATGACCACAGACACGGAAGGTGGACTGTGACACGCAGTGGAGTGAGGGTCATGATTTGATACATGGAACCTTTGACACCCCCAGGCCAGCAGCTTGGGCTCTGGTTCCCTGTACCAGCGCTCTGAGAATGCAGCTGTCCAGTGGGGCATGTTCTGGCCTTCTCATGTCCCAGGCAGACCCCTGCCTCTGCCCAGCACAGGGATGAGACCTGGGCGGGCTGTGCTCAGGGCGAGGACAATGGCAGCAGTAGCAATTCTGCCCTAAGCAGGCTGATGTCCCAGAACTTACGGGAAACCCTTCCCAAGCTGCTTCTCAATAGAGAGAACTGCTGGCCCTGGCACCCCTGAAAAGGCTCTTTTCACCCCTTCTCAAACCACCCCAAACCACATCCACTCAGCACCCAGCCCTATGGAACTCCACAGGGGCCATAGTCACAGAGAGCCCACCCACAGTGAGGGCTCGGTGCCCATGAGGGATTCTGTCCAGGAACATCTCTTGGCTTCAAGGACACTGGACCCCTCTGCTGACCTGCACCCTTAGAGGGTGTCAGCTGGTCCCTGCACAACTCTCAGAAGGTGGCTGGCCGCGTCACAGTGTGGCACTGGGTTTCCAGAAGACCCAGCTGGGTCGGCAGACTGCAGCGACAGCCGCCACGCACGGTGGCCTCCGGGCAGGAAAGGGTGTCCACATTTGGGGCGGGCATGGCTCTCTCACATTGTCAGTAGAGGAAGGAGCACAGTCGGGGTACCACTGCAGTATCTGGGAAACAAACCATCAAAGTGATAAATAGCTATGCTGTGATGAAGTTCTCCATAAGATGGACAGACAGTGGCTGTGACCAGCTGAGCTGGTGCTTTGTTCCTGGGGGACCGCGATTCATTGCTTCTCAGGGGCTGTTGGTAGGGGGCTGTTCTCAGGGCCTGGAGGTGCCTACATGCCTGTCCCCGATTGATTGAATCCTCCAGAAAGCCAGCGAGGAGGGCCCTCCAGGTCTGCGGGCCAGCGAGGAGGGCCTTCTGGGTCTGTGGGCCAGCTGGAGGGTGTAGTGTGTCACCCCATGGACAGTCAGGAGCATGGCTAGCGTCCCCACTCACATGTGTGCTCTGCACTTCTGATCTCACTTTCTCCCTTGTGTTGATGACATCAGAGCAGTACTGGGTGTCCTAATCCCATGCCTTCTGAGATCTTTATAGAAAGAGCAGACTGGACAGAGGAAAGAGACTCTGCCCAGAGATCTAGGGGACATCAGAAAACCTGAGAAGCTGACACAGGATCCTCCCCTGAGCCTCCCAAGCTAGCAGCCCCTGAACTGGGAGATGGCAGGTCTATGTCCCGGTCACCCATTGGTGCAGGGGCCACTGGACATACCCTGCTCACTAGAAGGTCAGAGGTCAGGCAGTTGGAGGGTGGTCAGGTGCTTTGCTGTCGCTGGCAGTGTTGTCTTGAGCTGCATGGTCTCTGAATTTAGGGAGACCCTCAGCTGGAATAACTCAGATCAGCAAGGGGATGTAGCCAGGGGCCCAGCCAGATGCTAGGTGGGCCCGGGTGGGCCAGGTACTGGGGGGCTAAGAAGCAGCTTCTTGGGTGCTGGGGTACCTGAGGCAAGCAGGGCAGATGCTGGAGGTCAGAGAGAAGCTAGACTGGTGCTAGTGGGGTCAAGGGGGCCCACCAGGTGCTGGGGTCATCAGGGGGACCAACTAGGTGCTGGGGAATAAGAGGGAGGTTGGCCAAGTGCTGGGGCTCAGAGAGGAGCCAGCTGGATGCTGGAGGATCAGAGAGGGGCTGGCTGGTTGTTAGAGGCTCAAAAGGGGGCTGACTGGGTGCTGCGATGTCGGGGGGGCTGATGGATGTTGGGGATCACAAGGGGCTGACTGGGTGTTGGGGTATCTGGATGGGTGCTGGGATATCAGGGGGGGCTGATGGATGTTGGGGATCACAAGGGGCTGACTGGGTGTTGGGGTATCTGGATGGGTGCTGGGATATCAGGGGGGGCTGATGGATGTTGGGGATCACAACGGGCTGACTGGGTGTTGAGGGTCAGAGGAGGCTGACAGGGTTCTGGGGGCTCAGAAGGAGGTGGCCAGGTGCTGAGGAGTTGAAGGTAGCGCAGGCTGGGCTTTGTGTGGTCAAGGGTGCTGACCAATGGGAGGGGCCCAGGCCTAGTGGGATGCTGGGGCTCTCGGCATAGGAAGCAGGGCTAATCTGGGGCTCTGTGTGCCCTCTAATTGGGGGCCTTTGTCTCACATGAGTTTAAGGGGCTGCCAGCTGCTTGATGGCCAGGCTGGTGCACAGAATGGACGGTGGACAGCTGATGGATGACCTAGACATGCTGAATGCATGGGAGTCTAGAACTGGGAAAACAAAGCCACTGGCTTCTGTGACAGGGGTCAGCTCAGTCCACGGTGATGTGGCCTCTCACCTCTTGGTGCCTGCTGGGCCGAGTGACATAGGGTCATCTCTGCCCATCCCCTGGCTGTAGGCCCCTTGGGGAGGGGGCTGGGAGCAAGGTGACAAGTGGGTGCAAGGACTTCCAGCTTGTGGTGGCTGTGGGCAAGGTGGACATGCTGCTGAGCTTGGGCGCTGACCAGCATGGAAGCATATGCTGTGCTCACAGGCCACCCTCCCATGTCCCTTCTGTTCAGCCGTAGGCCATGAGACACAGACAGAGGTTCTGCATGAGGCTGGAAGATGAGGTGTGTCCAGGGGCTGGAGGACTAGAAGGGACATGGCAGAAAATGCAAGCAGTGTAGCCAGGATGGAGGAGACATGCATGGACAGAGAGGACATGGCTGGACTGAGGGGACATAGTTGGATAGAGTACATGGCTGGGCAGAGGAGTCATGGACAGGACAGAGGTGCATGGTAGGACAAGAGGGGGAAATGGCTGGACAGAGGGAATGTGGCTGGACAGAGGAGACATGGGTGGACAGATGATGAAGGGGACTTGGGTAGGGTAGGGGCTTAGAGAAGGCCAAAGGGACAGAGAAGACAGAGAGGGTCCATCAAGGCCAGCTGCTCTGTTCTCAGTGGGTGGACACCTCTCCCTGAGCTGACGGAACTTCCTCAGCTGATGGACACCCTCTGTGATCAGTCGTGTGGGATCTGTGTGCTGTGGTCCAGGCCACACTGCTCAGCACTTGGTGGTGATGACGGGAAGGGCTCCATTCAGGGTGGAGATGCTGGTGCGGAGCAGGAGAGCCTCGTGCTCCAGGATACCCGTCCCCCAAGGCTTCCTTCCACCTGCTTCAAGCTTGGTTGTCATGGTGAACATATACGTACAAGCCACAACCCACGTCAGCACTGACCACCGCTTCCTAAGGTCTTCATCTATCAGGTTGCTGCTGTCAGTTTACTCCCTACAGACAGCTCCAAAACCAGGCTGGCCTTTCACCGAGAGTGATGCTAAACCACGGACGGCTTTAGGGAGTCCTGGTGACCTTGTTGGTGGGGAGTCGTAGAGATAGAGCCTCTCTGCCAGTTCAAATTCTCCAGGAGTTCCACAGGAGGAAGACGGACCGTCTCCTCCCCTACAACCTACAGCCTCAGAAAACTGGCTGGGGTTAGCCACAAGTCGGCTCTGCCTGCACGTGAATGAGTTCTGGTTTTGACACCTTCAGTGTTCCTTTTGATTTCATATTTAAAGATCCCTCAGGACCACAGTTTTAGGGATTCATCCAACCTCTCAGTGCCAGGAAGTCTGGAATTCAAGAGAATTTAAGTTCTGCATTTCCCTCCCTTTTGATCAAGGTTATCTCTTTGGAATCTTTGATCCAAATGTCCAGTAATGATGGCCAGGCACTGTGGCCTCGGTTGGCCTCACTGGTCACATAATGCTCCTGTACCTGTTCCTTTTCTGCTGGCCCAGGTGAGTCAAGCCAGCTGCGTGTCCTGGATGGCTACGCACAGGACAGATGCATTGACTGGCTGTCCCCTGGGACCAGACCTGAGCCTCCAACCCCACGACATGGCTGCTTACACCTGACCAACCTTGGAAGGTGTTTTGTAGTTGTAAATACCTGTCACAAAACTATCAGCTCCACTTGTTACAAGTGTACAATTTATTGACAATTACTGTAATGGACTGTGCAACCATAGTCAATGTGACAGTATAATCACCACTGACCCCACTAACACACTTTGGTCTCTACACAATTATCTTTACATAAGTGAAGTCACATGGTGCTTGTCCTTTTGTGACTGGCCTAACATCTTCCAGCTCTGAAGGAAGCCTTCCTTCCTCCTCCTAGCTTCTCTGGATGGACATGTCTGTGTGTGCCCATGTGTCTGGGTCATGGCTGAGCCCTCAGCCCCACCCTAGTTCAGCTGCCTGCCTAGCCAGGGTCAGCACACTATGTAAGGTGATCATAGCATGCAAGTCAGCACACCATGCAACAGGGTCAGCACACCACGCAGGGTGACCACACCACACAGCATCAGCACACCATGCAACAGGGTCAGCACACCACACAGGGTGACCAAACCAGTGTCAGTACACCATGCAAAAGAGTCAGCACACCACACAGGATGACCACCACACAGCATCAGCACACCATGCAACAGGGTCAGCACACCACAGAGGGTAACCACACCAGTGTCAGCACACCATGCAGCAGGGTCAGCATACCACAGAGGGTGACCACACCACACAGCATCAGCACACCATGCAGTGGGGTCAGCACACCACCCGGGGTGACACCACATAGTGTCAGTACACCATTAAGGGTCAGCACATCACATAAAATCAGTACACCACATATGGACCACACACTATGCAGGGTTCTCACACCATACAAGGTGGCCATACCACACAGTGCATTCTACATAAAGTCACACCATGCAGGGTGATTACACCAAGTCAGCAAACCATGCAGGGTCAGCACACAGTACAGGGTCGTACCACACAGCAAGGACAGCATGCCACATAGGTTCAACACACTACACAAGGTGTGACAAAGGGTCATCACCATAGTCCCCAGTGGTGGTTCTGACAGGATCTCACATAGGTTCTGCTGGGACCCAGGGTTCCCTGCTCCCTGATCTGGACCTCACTCCCAAAGCCTCCACATCTGCAGGCTGCTCCTGCTCATGCCCCCAGCTATTACCCTTCAGCTTCAGGGTCTCAGCCTGGAGGACCCACTAGCTCCCCATACTGTCAGCCTTTAGTCTAGGTGGCTTGGTCTGGGGGCCCAGCAGCCCTCTCCTGCCAGTCTGTGCCCCACCAACCAACAGGATCATCTGCTCCTGCCAGCAGGCCTCAGCACAAACATGCCCTCTGGCAGGGAAGGGGCAAGAGAGGCCAGAAGGGGGCTAAGTAGCAGAGCTGCACCACTGGCATTGAGAAGCCACATGTCCAAGGGAGGAGGGTCCAGTATAGAGCTTGTGCCAGCCTGCTGGTGCCACCTCTCAGCACCAAGGGGCCTGCAAACAACTTGCACAGTTCTGCTCACCTAGGACACACGTGGGCCATTCACTTCAGAAGAATGATGTGTGGTCATCCATCTCAGAGGGACATGTGGGAGCGTTCCACCTCAGAGAAGGGTCGTGAGAGGGCAATTCACCTCAGAGGAGGGACACGTGGGCCATCCACTTCAGGGGAGGACACGTGGGGGTCAGTCACCTCAGAGGAAGGATATGTAGGGCTGTCCACCCCAGGAGGACATTTGAGGGCCATCTATGTCAGAGGAGGGAAATGTGGGGGTCATCCACATATCAGATATATCAGAGGAGGGACATATGGAGCTGTCCATTTCAGAGGAGGGACATGTGGGACCTGTCCACCTCAGAGAAGGGACGTGTGGAGCTGTTCATCTCAGAAGAGGGATGTGTATAGGGCACCCACATAGGGTAGGGACGTGTGGGGGTGATCCACTTCAGGGGAAGAATGGGAGAGGCAGATCACCTTAGGGGAGGGACACGTGGGGGCTCTTCACCTCAAGAGAGGAATGTGAGAGGGCTGACCTCCTTAGGGGAGGGATGCCACTTGGAAAGTGGCTGCTCTGGCCTCACGTGTAAGATCTGTTAGCATCATGAGGTCGGGAGGGGACAGCCCAGGATGGGCCTGCTGGAGGGGCCTGGCTGTCCTCCAAGGCCAGGCACCATCTCTCTAGGGTATGGAACACCTGGCCCTGATTTTCCCCCACTACTCCTGGAATCCTGCTGGGCCCTGTCCAGTCCAGAATGCCATCAGCTGGCCCTGGAGTCAAGAGCTTGGCCTAGAAATATGCAGGACAAGATGTGGGGCTGGCCATCTGCTGCCACAGGCTTCTGGCTCTGTGGTGACCTGGTCTCTAAACCATCCAGAGGGCAGGGAAGTGGAACCCAGAGACCCTGACGTACCTGCTCAGAGGGGGGTGCAGCAGGGCTGGCTGCAGCATTACCCCTACAGTAGTCACCAGGTGCCAGCCCCAGGTCACATAGCTTAGGGTCAGGTGGAAAGCCAACAGCAGACCTCTGGGGACCCTGCTGTCCCCAGCTGGGTCTGCCTCTCTGTGACTGACTGGACCTCTTAGGCAGCCCCTAGCAGGTGGCATTCAGAAAGCACAACCATGGAACACAATCTTTATTTATTGCTGAATGGAAAATGCCCTGTGGCTGGTAGGGCCTCTTCTGGATGGGTAAAACAGGCCAGAATAGCCCAGGCCTGGTGCTCTGGTGCTTGAGGTCTGGGCTCACTGACAAGGAGCAGGGAGGGGGCATGGGCTGGTCAGGCAGGCACACACAGTGATCTCAGAGGCTGTGCATCCAGGGTGCCCTCCTGACAGCGTGGAGCTGACTTCCTGTGGTCCAGACGTGAGGCAGCAGGATGGCTCTTACAGGCGGGGTTTGATGTGCAGAGACTTTCCTATGAGGGAGGACAGTGTCAGAGGGGCCAAGGCTGCAGGCAGGCTCTGCTGGACAAAGCTGCACAGAGGGAGGCCACAGACACCTCTGGTCACGGCCTGGCCTCCAGCTCTGCCATGCTAGCCTCAGGGTCCAGCCAGAGACCACTCAGCCATCCCCCCAGAGATGGGAGTGCTGAGTGGGGGTGGGTGAGTGGGGGTAGGGCAAGCAGTACTTAGTGGGGGCGGGGTGCTGAGTGGGGTGGGGGAGGAGTACTGAGTGGGGGGGAGCAGGTGTGAGCTAGAAATCCCAGGAGCTCAGCCAGTGGCGTCTCCCCGCCAAGCCACCACACCTGGAGCCGCGCTGTCAGACACACGGGTGCACGCACACACATGCAGCCCAGACCACATGCCCGCGTTCCTCTCATTCTCTCTCACGTGCACACAGATGTTCACACACGTCTGCCACGTGCTTCAGTGTGCCCACATACACAGTGAGTAGCACGTACCCCACACTCCACACACACATGCAGACCTGCCTCTCACTCATTTGTGACCACACACGCTTCACACCCACTTGCACAGAAGTGCACACGTGCAGACACATCATACACATGAACACACACAAGTAATACATATCACACACATACACACCCATGTGTACACCACACACACGCACACACATGCAGCACACATGTGCTCAGTCATCTGTCAGGCTGCGTGGGCTCAGAAAGTCCTGTGCAGGTGACATTTGTGGTCTGGAGGTGGGAGGGGCGGTAGTGAGGAGGGAGGGGAGGGGGCATGGAAGGGAAGCTCCCTCAGAGGGGCCTGGCACAGTGGGTGGTGCGCAGGGGTTTGAATCCCACCCTATATACCTTATAGGCACCCTCCAGATCACCCAGCCCTTGGGGGACACAAGTGCCTCCATGAAGTGACCCACAGGCATGCCAGTCCCCACACTCTCAGGACTCCTGTCTGTCTGTCTGTCTGTGTCCCCCAGAGTTAGAGCAAGAGCCAGTTCTGGGCCCCCAGGACAACACCTCTCTCAGGTTTTGGCCACTGTCCCAGGCCCACTTCTCCTGGCCTTGGCCTTGGCTATCAAGGGCAGAAGGTGGGGGGCTGTCTGGCCTCCTGACCAGGCCCCAGCACTCATGCCCCCTGGGGGGGCACAGGGAAGTTGGAGGAGGCCGGCATGGAGTGAGCGCACAGAGCTGGTGAAGCTGCCGCCAGCGTCTCCCATTAACGTTACGACTGTGAAATATGACAGTAAAATGATAGCCGTATGGTCGCAAATGTGCAGCCCGCAGAGCTGCTTGGGGTTTATCGTCGCTCAAACGCGCAGAGAGCTGTAAAATGTTTACAGAGAGGGTCGTTTGTAGCCATAAAATCTTCTTCTCTCTCTTCAACAAGGCTGAGTGGAGCCATTTATGGAGCCCCAAAAGCTCACAGGGGGTGGAGCAACATCTGTTCTCTCCAGGAGCCTCAGCACTCTTCCCGAACAAATTAACAAAAAAGGGTGCTTTCGAATTAAATCAGCCCTCGGCTGGAAGCCTGCAAGGGGGCTGAGGGCCAGTGCTCCTGCGTACCTGAGTCCTTGCGCGGGGAACTCCTGGGGACACAGGCACCAGCCTGGGGGGCCGGGCTGGGTGAGCAGCGCAGGGAGATGAAGGAGGGCAGCTTGGAGCCCAGCACAGACGACGCTGGCTCATGGACAGAGGCCACCTTGGGGTCCAGGGAGGCCTGGGAGGAGGGCGAGGAGGGAGTAGGCGAACCAGACAGCTCTTGGGAGGTGGAGGCCAGAACAACCGTCGCTGTGGAGGTGGGGCTCTTGGGTATCAGCCTGGGGGGGCGCTGGGCAGCTGAGGGCTTCCTGCAGGTAAAGGTCAGGGTGCAGGGGAGCAGTTCAGGCCTGAGCAGGGGCGAGGGTGGGGCAGGGAGAACACTGCTGACCTCCACCCTCCTGCCACCCAAAGGGCCCCAGCCCCCTCTCCACCCAGGTCCCCCCCGTGGCCACCTCTCAAGGTCAGGGTCTCTGTCCTGGAGCCAGAGGGTGGGGCTGCTCACACCCACCCACAGCTGCCATCTATCCATCACCTGGGCATGTGGCTGCTGGAAACCCTGCTCCGGGGGCTCGTGTCACTGGGTGAGGGGGCCGACGAGGCCCGCCGGCCTGAACGCTTCCGGGTGCGGTGAAGCAGCTGGCACTGGGCACCACGGGGACAGACGCCCCGGCGAGAGAAGTCAGGACAGAGGAGTGTGTGTTTCTTCTTGCACTGTGGGGAGGACAGGTTTGGGGACAGTGATCTGGGCCAGGAGCCACCGCCCTCTGCCGACACACCTACAGCGGCTGGACAGTCAGGGTCCACTGGCCGAGGCCAGCACAGCCCGGATGCTCAGCAGGTCGGGGGCACCTGTCAAGCAGCCAGAGACCCTGCGGCAGGTGCCCCACCACACTGAGGCCCTCCACCCAGGGAAGGGCATCACACTACCCCAGATCCCCTGCTGTGGCCAACACCCACAAAGGGCAGCGGGGCCACCGGACACCCATAAAGGCACATCAACCCACCACAGGAGGCCACACCCACTTGCCAGAGGCAACCACAACCAGACCTGCAAGACCCAGCGACCTGGCTTTGAGGCTGTGTCACAGAACCACGTCCACATATTCTTCCCCTAGCAGCAAACTACCAACCTTTCAGTTAACAGTCCTAGGTCTAACCCACAGTGCCACCAGGGTGCTCCATGGCTCCCGGGAAATGCCAACCTCCCTGAGTGCCCTCAGCAGCTGACCCCAGCCATGACCACCCTGCAGCTCTGGAGATGGAGGAAGAGTCCATGCCTGCCCTGGAATCGGCCCCCAACTGCCACCCAGGGACGCCCGCACATGTGGGCAAGTCTCTGCTCAGAGTCCCAGCACCCCAGTGCCCGTGTCCTTGCTCTTGCCCACACTTTTCTGGGCCCCGCTTCTAGTCCCTTCACCCGAGAGGCTGGCCCATCCATGAGTGTTCGCTTGTTCATGTCATCCCTACAGAGCTGTCCGGCCACAGACGCAGGTCCAGCCACCACCTGGGCTGCCTGTCACCAGAGAGGATGTGTGGAGACAGGCAGGGTTGGCGCAGGTGAGCGTGTGGGTACCCATGACGCTCAGCAAGGCAGGGTGGCCAGAAAGGACACCTGCGGGGGACACACAGTGAGTGTACGGCCTGGCGGGGGCCCCGTGTGGCTCATACACGGTGGGCTGCTCAGCCTGGCATCTGTGTGAGCTCGTCAGGCTGCGTGTGAGCCCGTCACTGGGTGGACGTCGGGCTGAGGGCATGAGGTCGGTGCTGAGTGGAGCCACGTGGTGGTGTGGAGACGGCAGCACACACAGGGGTTCAGAGGCTCAGAACACGAGTGTGACAGCCACACCATGCAGACTCACCATTCCAACAGCCCCTAACACAGGACCCACCAGACACAAGGCAGAACCTGATCAGTGCAGAACCAACCAATGCAGAACAGGGAAGCTCTGCACCAGAGAACTCTGAAGTCGCTACTCAGTCCCCAGATCAAACACAAACCAGACGGAAATGACCGCCACGCGGCCACACGGAAACCACACACCCGCGGCCCACTGAGGGGACAGAACGAGAAGCTGGGACGGGGCGCGCTTGGATTTTGCTCGGCCGCCTCTCGGGAGGCTCAGCAGGGATTCAGGAAGAACTCAGCACAGCAGAGCCTGAAGTTGCTGGGCTTGACCTCCTGGCAAACCGCTGTGTCTTCCCTCTCTTCGTGACCACTGCCCGGTGAAATGCACGTGGAAATAATTATAAGTAGCTTTTCTTCTTTTTCTTTTCACAATCTAGATTTCTGTAAAAAGCATCTTTTGAAGCAGCAAGTATCAAATCTGAAAAGCAACTGATAAAAAAGCAGCTGATTTTTCCATTCTTTCCTCCCCCTCACTCCTCGGGGTAAACCTTGCTGTTGTTACGTACTGTCAGTCAACTAGGACTCACAGTGACAATATGCACAGTAGCCCTGAACTCTGCCCTGTCCTGAGCTAATCTCACTGTCTCTGACACACCTACCCTCATTCCCCCAATTATGGTGTCAATCCATCTCATCCGGGGTGTTCCTCTCCTGCGCTGTCCCTTGACCCTTCCAAGCATGAAGTCCTTCTCCAAAGTCTGGTCCCTCCTGGCCACGTGCCAAAACAGAGTTTTAAAATCATTGCCTCCAAGACAGCTTGGTTTCACCCTTTCCAGGGCAGATCTGTTAGTTCTCTGGGCAGCCCATGGTATGTTCAATACTCCAGGACCACAACTCAAAGGCATCAGTTCTTCTGTGATATTTGGTCATTGTGATATTTGCTCTCTAATGCATAGCAAGTAATTCTGAAGATCATGGCCTGGATTAGGTGCACCTTAGTCTCTAGACTGATATCATTGTTCTTCCATACTCTGGAGAGGTCTCTGATAGCAGACTTTCCTAATGCGATTTGTCTTTTGATTTCCAGACTGCTGGTGCTAAGAGTGTTGACTGTGAAACCGAGTAAGCTAAAATTGTTAACAATCTCAATCTCTTCTCCATCCATACTGATGCTGCCAATTGGATTAAAGGTAAGAATCTTCTTTTTCTAGATGTTGACCTTCAATTCATATTGCAACTACAGTCCCTGACTCTGCAGCAAAGGCTGAAGCTGAGGCTCTCCACAGTTTCAGCAAGTCAGGTTGTATCATCTGCACAACGCAGACTGTCAGATGAATCTTCCTCCAATCCTGATGCCACATTCCTCCATGAAGTCCAGCCTCTCAAATACGCTGTTCTGCATGCAGTCTGAAAAGGTATGTATAGAGACGGGACACATCCCTATGCACTCCTTTTCTGATTTTGAACCATGCAATGTTTCCCTGCTTTATTTTGATGACTGCCTCCTAGTCCAAGAATAGGTTTCACATAAGCATAATCAAGTGTTTTGGGATTCCCATTCTTCTCAAGGTTAGCCACATTTTTTTGTGATCCACAATCAATGAAACACAGATTTCTCTGATACTCTGCTTTCAGCCAAGATCCATCTGACACTGACAATGATGTTCCTAGAGCCACGGCCTCTTCTAAACCCAGCTTGTATTTCTGGTGGTTCTTGATACTATTCCAGTCACTTTTGGATAATCTTCAGCAAGATTTTATTTGTGTGTGATATTAGTGATCTTGTTCTATTATTTCCACATTCTGTTGGATCACCTTAGTTCTAAGGGTTTAGCATCCTACAAGTTTAACCTAACATAACAATATTCCATAAATAAACAGCCTTTTTACTGTCAAACTATTGCCTGATTTTTAAAAGTGTGCATTAATATTAAAAAAAAAAACCCCAAAACACAACCAACAACAAACACCTACTTGTGGGATAGAGCTAAAGCAGTATGTACAGGGCAATGCATAGCCTCTATGGTTTACATCTGCAACAGTGACTTATCTCACAGCTTAAGAGTGAGAGGCTCAAGAAAATTAACCCAAAGTTCAGAACAGACAGCGAAAATACAACAAAACTCCAGACAGTCAAATGACAGCTCTTTAAAAATGTTAATCCATTTACTCAACTAGACTGCAGTAAATACCTGAATATATACAGTGAAGAAGTGACAGAGGGCCACGGCTGGGGCATAACAAGGTGTCAATCTTTGTTTTGACAGAATGGATAAACGTTGTTAAGTGCGATAATAGCGACCCTACGAATGAAAGTCCTCTACCCTTGCGTGACTTTCATCCTCTTTCCAGGTTCACAGGGTTTCCAGAGGTTGTTACAGAACTGGATGCCTCTCCTGCCTCTATACTAGACAACAAAAAACCAAGTGAAATTGGCAAATTCTAGAAAAACTGACAAGAAGGAAAACAAAACTTGAAGTCAGTAACCATCAAGGAGTTTGAAATGGTCCTGGGAAAAAAAAGCAGGTTCTAGCACCAAGGGTTTTACGGCAAAGTCTGTCAAGTAATCAAGAAACGCATCATTCTAACACCACCACCACACACACATACATACATACATGGAGAGAGAAAGAGAGATGTGTACAACCAAGAAACTCATTCTCTCTCTCTCTCTCTCTCACACACACACACACACACACACATCTATAACCAAGATGCAAGAAATCATCCTATGCAAACTATAAGTAAACTGAGTTCTGCTGTTTATAAAACATTCAGGTATCAAGACTGAACAGGGTTTATTTCAGGAATGTAGGGTTGGTGTGTGACATTACAAAAGAACTGGACAGAAATTAGCATATTAACAGGCTAAAAAAGAGGAATCATAAGATTATCTGATAGATATGAAAGAAATGATTCCTAAAATTCAACATCCAAAGTTAAAAGAAAACCACAAAACACCTGGAAAACCACCGACAGAAGAAAAGTTCCTCTGCCTAACTTCAAGAAGCGTCCACACAGCACTGTGAGTGAGGAGGGCAGGTTAGGCGCATTTACTGTTATAATAAGACACGTCAGCGTTCACTGCCGTGCGCGGTACCAAAGGCTGCGGTCTTGGCTCCTCACCAGCAAGGGCCTCAAGTCTTTACTTTCCATAAGCAAAGTCATGTCATTTGCCTAACACAGTGCTGATAAATCTTCCTTCAATCCTGATGCTACGTTCTTCGTCATGAAGCCCAGCTTCCTGAATTACCTGCTCAGCATATGTACTGAATAAGTATGAAGAAAGGCCACAGCCCTGATGCACACCTTCCTGACTTGAAACCACGCAGTGTTTCCTTGCTCTGTTCTAGCAATGTCCCTCCTGGTCTCTGCGTAGAGCTCACATGAGCACAATTAAGTGCTCTGGGATTCCTATCCTTCTCATTTGTTATGATCCAAATGCCTTTGCATACCAATAAAACACAAGTAAACATCTTGCTGGTACTCTCTGCTTTAGCCAAGGTCCATGTGATATCATAAATGATCCCCAGTGATGAACAAATGTAGATCTCTTCTAGTCAGCTGGCCAGGTAGCTGTCTTCCAGATTTTTTGGCACAGAATAGTGAGCATGCCCAGGGTTGCACCTGTCTGATGAAACATCTCATCCGGTAACCCATCAACTCCTGGGGCCTTCTTTTTGCTAGTGCCTTCAGAGCAGCTTGGACTTCTTCCTTCATCACCACCGGCTCTTGATCATATGTTACTTTGTGAAATGGGTCAGTGCCATTACTGGACCAATAGTCAAAAGCACAACAGAGAAAGAGAAAATACTCAAGCTGTCAACAACGTCATTTTACTTGGAACTACAATCAATACCGATGG